TGGAAGAGGCAGTAAGTGCTTTGAAAACCTGAAATGGCAACTATGCAAACATAAGAGAAAAAGATACTAATTAGTTGATATTGATTTAATTAATAACATTACTTTAGAACAGGCTTTTTATATAAAAGTTTGAGAAATTAAAGCCAATTTTTAAGGTATTACATATTTATGCATGTCTTTATTTATTTTAGGCTTTTAAAACCAAGGATGGATATCTTATAGTTGGAGCAGGAAATAACCAACAGTTTGCTACTGTGTGCAAGGTAATCTGTAATATTTGGGTGGATGGATAATATATACAACAACTCATTTTTCACAAAGCCAGGAAAATTCAGTTTTCCCTAGGACGATGTTCTGTACTCAACTCAAGACTCCTTGCATTAGCACCTACAAGTATGCTCTTTTTATACTTAAAAATGCTAAGGACAGGGTCTAAATTAGCACTCTGGTTTTATTTTAGTTGAGATATCTGGCTGTATTTTGAAGAATTATAGTAGCTTAAATTATTATAAAACTTGACCTGTCTACCAGCTCAAACAAGAAGGGCAAAAAGTTCATTTTAAAGGGATTTATTTTTAACACCAGGATTTTTTTTTCCTGAGAAGAAGAAAGGAACAGAGGGACTGGAAAACAGCTAGAAAACAATTATCGAAAAGACAATAGAAAAGGTCAATGAAACCAAGGGCTGATTCTTTGAAAGATAAACAAAAATTTACAGACCTTTAGCTAGGCTCAAAAAAATAATATCAGAAATGAAAGAGGAAGTGTCATAATAGGTACCACAGAAATACAAAGAATTGCAAGGCATGATTATAGATAGTACTGTGCCAAAAATTGGACATCCTGGAAGAAATGAGTAAATTTCTAGAAACATACAACCATCCAAGACTGAATTATGAAGAAACAGAAAATCTGAACAGACTGATTACTAGTAAGGAGATTGAATTAGTAATCAAAAACTCCCAACAAACTTAAGTATAGGGACCAGATCAGTAAGTTCTACCAAACAGCCAAACAAGAATTAATACCAATCCTTCTCAAACTCTTCCAAAAAGCAGAATAGGAAAGAATACATCCAAACTAATTTTATGAGGATAGCATTACCATGATACTGAAATCAATGATGCCACAAGGAAAGAAAACTATAGGCCAATGTCCCTAGTGAACACAGAGGCAAAAATCCTCAACAAAACAGTAGCAAACTTAATTAAACAGTACGTTATAAAGATCATACACCATGATCAAGTGGGGTTTAATCCCTGGAAGACAAGGATGGTTCAACACACAGAAGTCAATCAGTGGTACATCACATTATTAGAATGAAAGAAAAGAAAGATATGGTCCTCTCAATAGACATAGAAAACGTATTTGACAAAATTCAACATTCATAATAAAAAATTCTTAAATTAGGCACAGAAGGAACATACCTCAACATAATAAAGGCCATATATGATGAGCCTACAGCTAACATCATGTTCAGTGGCAAAAGGTTGAAAGCTTTTCTTCTAAGATCAGGAACAAGGCAAAGATGCCCACCCTTACTAAACTTATCCAACGTAGTTCTGAAGTCCTAGATAGAGCAATCAGGCAAGAAAAAGAAAGAAGAGTTTTCAGAATTGGAAAGGAAAAAGTAAAATTGTCTTCACTTGCAGATTACATTTTTTTTTAGATTACATGATTTTATATACAGAAAATCCTAAAGACTCCACCAAAAACATATGAGAACAAGAAATGAATTCAGTGAAGTTGCAGGATACAAAAATCAATATACAAAAATCTGTTGTGTTTCTGTACACTATTAACAAACTGTCAGAAAGAGAAAATAAGAAAACAATCTTACAATTGTATCAAAAAGAACAAAACACTTAGAAATAAATTTGACCAGGGAGGTGAGAGACTTGTACACTGAAAACTGTAACACATAGGTTAAAGAAATTAAAGAAGACACAAATAAATGGAAATACATTCTGTCCTCATGGATTAGAAGAATCAAATACTGTTAAAATGTCAATACTATAAAAGCCATCTATAGATTCATTGCAATCCCCATCAAGATTCCAATGGCATGTTTCATGGACATAGACCAATCCTACAGTTTGTATGGAACCACAAAACACCCTAAATAGCCAAACTAATCTTGAGAAAGAAGAACAAAGAAGAACAGGGAGAAGGCATCATACTCCCTGATTTCAAAGTATGTCACAAAGCTATAGTAATCAAAACTGTGGTATTAACATAAAAACAGACACATAGAACAGAATAGAACCTGAAAATAAATCCATTCATGTTTGGTCAACTGATTCACAACAGAGGAGCCAAGAATATATAATGGAGAAAGGGCAGTCTCTTCCATAAATACTGTTGGGAAAATTGGACAGCCATATGCAAATGAATTAAACTGGACCACTATCTTACATTATACCCAAAAATTAACTGAAAATAAAATAAAGTCCTGAATCTAAGAGCTGAAACCATAGAACTTTTAGAAGAAAACATAGGTGGTAGGCTCCTTGACATCAGTCTTGGGGACGATTTATTGGATCTGACACCAAAAACAACGGCAACAAAAGCAAAAAATAAACAAGTGGGACTACATCAAAGTAAAAAGCTTATACACGGCCAAGAAAATCACTAACGAATTGGAAAGGCAACCTACTGAATGGGAGAAAATATTTCTAAATAATGTATTCTAATAAGGTGTTAATATCCAAAATATGTAAAGAATTTATACCAATCAATAGCAAAAAACCCAACAATCAAATTAGAAAATGGGCAGAAGTTCTGAATAGACAGTTTTCCCAAGAAGACGTACTGATGGCTGACAAGTACATGAAAAGATGCTTAATGGGAGAGAGACGATAAACAAATAAATAAAACTCTCCAACAATCTGTGGTTTTAAGTGCCATGCAGAGAGTTAAAACAGGCTACTGTGTTAAAATAGTGACTGGATTGTCAGGGGAAAGTCTCTCTGAAGAAACAACATTAAGATGAAATCTGAATGACATCCATAAAGCAATAGTGATAAGATTTATCAACAACATAAATATTAGCATAAAATGTTTGCAATGTTAACATAAATATAATACTCAAAATTCACACACAGACACACATACAAAACCCTGGAAGTATTTCATATTGCTAATACAGATTATATTTGGGTGGTAGCGTAGAAGTGGATTTTTCTTATTCTTTCTACTTCTATGAAGTTTCTAAACTGTGGTAAAATACAAAAATGTATTTAGTCTTTGTCCCCAGTTTCACACACATAGTTCCTAAAACCCTTGAATCTCCTGAGTGATAGAAGTGTCTTTTGTTATTCTTAACAAGACCCTTTCTGTCACACCTGAGTTTATGCTACTGAAGTGACTTGGGTGGGGTCCCTAGATAGTCTCTGGATGGACCGATCACCAGAAAGACCAAGTGATGAGAGGGTTGGAACTTTCAGCCCCACCTGCCAACCTCCAGGAAGGGAAGAGGGGACTGCAGGTTGAGCTTCATAAAAATTCTTGAACTATAAGATTCAGAGAGCTTCTGATGAAGACATCAAGAGAGCTCCACAACCTCCCACCACATATCTTGCCCTATTCATCTCTTCCATTTGGCTCTTCCTGAGTTTTGCTCTTTATAATAAACCAGGGAAAGTAAGTTAAAAAAAAAAGGTGCTCAACATCTCTAATCAACAGAGAAATGCAAATTAAAACCACAGTGAGATGTCACCTCACACTGGTCAGGATGGCAGTTTAGAGATTACTCAGAAAGTTAAAATTAGAACTACCATATGGTCCAACAGTTCCACTTACAGGTATATATCTGAAATATAGAAAATGAAAACACTAACTTGAAATGACATCTGCACGCCCATGTTTATTGCAGCATAATTTACAATAGCCAAGATATGGAAGGAAAAGGGGATTTTTAACATCAGGAATTTTTTTCTTTTTCTTCTTCTTTTTTAAACTCTCATGAGATTTAAATTAGGCCCAAGTGTAGTTAATCTACTACAAAATTCATTTATTTACCACTAGAAAATTAATTTTTTTCTTCAAATTAGCCTTTGTTTAATGAGTACCTTTCTGCAAAATTCACATTTTAACTTTTTAGTAATGGTCATATTAATATATGTTGTTCCTACACTAGGCCTTAAATATAGGCCTTAAATATAGGCCTTGGGAACATTTAAAGTAATTTTATGTTGAAGATATTCTCAATTTTTAGCATTGCTTAGACTTGTTTTTATTTGATGTTTTTACCATTTATCTAGATTCTGGTCTTTTGTTTTCATCTAAGACTTTAGGTTTTGGTTCTTTTTTTAAGAGTTCTAATCCCAGGAGTATAATCTAGTTAAAAATATATATAGTTAAGTTTTGATTTTTCATATATAGGGAAAGGCCTTACCTGTTGAGGACTTTTTTGTGATTGGGAGAGGTTTTTTTTTCTTTTCATATTAACCACACTACCATGAGCTTTCAATTTGATTAAAGATGCCTGTGAATTCCTTAGAGGAACCTTATTTATTGTAGTTAACTTATTATGTACGAACATTATTTATTACTGTGCCTCTTTTGTATGAGAGGTTAATTAGCACAGCT